CATCCTGTCCGCACATGCCCATGTTGCTAATCAAAGCAGACATTTGCACCTAGCGTTAGCATTAGCCATTTCCTGCAGGGCTTCTAACATCACACATTCCCTCCAATTGAACTGCGGTTGAAAACTAGCACTGACAGTTACAGTTGTTTTCGCTGTTTTGCACATTGACAGTTTAATATAAATCAATCAGTATCTTAAAATACAATTTCGGGGTTTAAAAGCTAATATTAGGTTCTGGATTGTGTTTTCTCTCCCTGTTGTTCTCTAATTATAATGAATTCATATCAAAGAATCCTGCTTTATCAGCCGAACAAGCCAGACTGGTTTAATGCTCATAAACATTGTCCATCAAAGGATCAAGAGTCTGAAAACTTTTCCTAACTCCTTCTAGCCCAACGGCTTCGCTATAAAGTAATGTCTATGGTATTCTTGTAAAAATGTGTTAGTCATTTCTCAGGAGCATAGCGGGACTCCATGTGTGTGTCAGATCGCATGTCATCTCCCTTCCATAGTCTGAGCTCATGTAGCCTGTTTCTGCGTGCTACTTCTATTTGCATTTTGACACACCACATGCATATTGAAGACGGAGTTGCCGCTTGAAATTGAAGCAAATGATTATTTCGCTAACTTATGCAGAGAACAGGTCACAGTGCTGTTAGTCTTAGATCTTGTAGAGGTAAAAACACATCTGAGACGTTTCTGAGCAGGGAAACTATCTATCTGATCAAATTGGCTCTGACTGCAAATTCACTGAACCAATGAAGGCGTGCAGTCCGAGTCTCAAAAGTAAAAATCCCTGTGGACAGGGAAAACCTTTCAGATGGGAAGAAAAAATGTATTGCGCTTGTCATCATGTGACTTTGTTTGGGTACTCTGGGCTGCCGTCCCCCTTTTCAAAGGGCGTTTTGGTAGCCGATATATTCCCTGCCAGCGCCACCCATCTTGCTCCTGACCAACCGAAGACAGAAACCAAGCTCCGATGTCTCTCTTTCTCTCAATCCCTCTTTCATTCTGCTCTCGATTCCTCTCTCTCATTCCGCTTCAGTAGCTGCAGACAGCACCGGGGGGATTTTGGCAGTGTTCAGGCCCAGACACATTCTCTCCTCACACTGTCGTGAGTGTCAAAGACCTATTTTTCTGTAAAGGCCTTTGCGTCAGCTGCCAGGATTGCCCTTTTGAGTGGACACTCCAAAAAAAAGAGCGAATTCTACATTCCAGTCAGCGTCCAGTCCACTTCTTCATCAATTAACAGAGCACTCGGTTAAACATTGGCCTTCAGCGCAAGTTATTGCTCCACGCTGCATGGGCTTTCAGAACGCTGGCGAATTTTACAGCCGGAGCATTCCTGAACCCAAAAGGTTATCGGTGCTAATGTTTATGGGTTAGTTATGTGAGCTTTCGCGGACCACCAGAGTATGTGCGCTTAGGAAAACCCTGCCTGGTTTTCATAGCATCTTTAAGCCTGAGTCTGAGACCCCTTTGAGCTCCTTACGAGAGTCTGAAACAAAGCCAACAGACATCTGTTCACCCTATAGCCTACTCTGTTTAACATATGACCTTTCAATGGCTCACACACAGGACTTGGATATTAATAAATTGCACTGTTTTAGATATAATTGAAAAGATATAATTATAAGCCAAAGCTGTGGCACCAGTGAGGGGAACACCATTTTAATCATATATGAAAAATTATTATAAATAAATAACTTTATCTTTACACATAGCAGCAAATGCATGTTCTTCCGCTTGAATGAACCTTCATTGCTTTTTTATTTCATTTACTTTTCTTTTTTTAATCATTTTGATTCTTATCTTAAATAAATTGCTGTCCTTATGGCCAATTAAAACGCAATAAATAGGCTCATAAATAGGCCTATTACTTGTTTTATTGTATAGTCCTTATATTTGGTTTCTCTAATTCAGTGAGTTGTTGACTCATGCGTACAGGTGTGAAGAACAAATCAATGCTTTGACCTCGTTTTAAACCTTTTGACCGTAGATTTTAGAGATCGATGAAATCGCATCGATGGCAGAGGTCGGGTTTCGCTCAACAGCTGTCATAATAATTATTATCATCATAATTAATAATTAGGCTAGTATTATTGATTTATGTTTTTAATATTTACGAGGAATTAAAATATCAACTCTATTTTAAAAAAAATAGTGATGTAGCCTAAATTTCGTATAGGCCGCCTAATCTTTAAAAAAAAAAAAAAAAACATTACGAATTTTAGGCAAAAATGTATGATTTAATGAAAATCAGTCTATAATTCATGAGATGTGACATCGCTATTTCATTTTTTTTTTTTCATTATTGATTGTTTGCATTCGCAGTTCCGTTTTATCCGGACTTAAGACTGTGTGGGAAAAAAACTATTTTTAAAAGTGCAAACAAACGTTTCATATAGCCAATCAGATCATGCAAAACAGTTTAAATAAAATATATCCTGGCCTCTACATAATAGCTCACATGAATGAATACATTTTTAAATAGCCTATAAATAAATGTTTGCTCAGGCCTTTCCTAAAACTCCCATTACGGCTCTTCTGCAGTGAATGGCCCTGTAATTATTCTCTTGTTTCTCATGCTAATGCTGTTTACCCTCAAAATGAGTCTGTTATTTCGTCTACAGGGGCTACATTTGCTTTAGCTGCATTTATGAATCAGCCTACCACTTCTACGGGACGAATAAACATGGATCATGTCAGTATTTTGGTACGTTGATATATGGGGTCAAATAGTCTTACTTTACTCGCGCTGTCCTGCGAAGGTCTGTTTTACCACATTGCAATGAGATATGTAATATGTCATTTAAAATGACTGTAGTTACCTCAGAGTAATTATATAGGACAAAATGTGTTTATCACGTGTATGTGCTAAATAATAAGTGCAGTGGGGTAGTGGGAATTAAAACCAGGCCTTAGACTAATTGGAGTAGAAGCGAGAGAGAGAAAGAAAGAGGGGAAATTTCCTACTGACGCGTGTGATTTCACATTCAAACATAGGAGCGTAACTAATGTTTTATTTAGGCAACATCAGAGAAGAAATTAGAAATGCATTTTCAAAATCATTTGAATGCATGTTGGACAGTTTTGATCCTGTTTTAGGTTCAACGGACTCTCTTAAATCTCCAGAGACCAAATGTGATTGCTTTCAGCGAGAACACTGCAGTGTTTAATTCAAATTCACTTCAGAAAATTATTCAGTATGAACGGACACATAAGACGGATCGTGTTTACAACCCTAAACAATATAACTGTATAACTTTTAATTAGGTTATTCGTAAAACTCGTTCATTAGCCTATATTATTATTTCATTAAACATTGAGATACTTGCGTAACTTACAATTAGGCCTCTTGGTTGTTTTAAAGCAAAACAAGGAGACAAACTGTCCGAAAATTTAGTAACCGAGGCCCGTTTGTGCCTTTCATATATTTAACATGCAGCCTATTAATTTTTTTCCGATACATTCTTAAAAATAAAGCTTCATTATTGACATCGATGTATTAAGAACGTTAATGAAACCTTGTTGTTGAACAAAAAGTTCTTTATAGTGGAAAAAAGAGTCTTTACATTATTCAAATGTTCTTCAAACCAAAAAAAAAAAGGTTATTTTCATAAATTTTCACTGAAATGTTTTAGGGGAACAAAATTGATTCTTCTACTGTTTGGAACCTTTAACCTTTAAGACTGCGGGTTATCGGACAAGGACATAAATAAATTAGCAAAGTTTATTTGTTTTAAACTTTTACAAGGTTAGCATAGACAAAAAAGATAAGACAAATAAATTTAGCTAACCATCTCTCACCCGACATCCACTTCACTCATTAAAACATTCAAATAAAATAAACAAGAAAAGTAGGCAATATAACCTCTCATTTAGTGAATAATAGCATTGATACTGTGAAGAAAGTAATAATCCAACATTCAGCGGTAATTTGAAAGGCAAGCTTTTTCATCTTAAAAATACGGGGCTTTTCGTAAGGCAACTGCATATAAAATAAATCGCCCGTTAAAAGCAGGCCTATAATATGACTTTTATTGCATTATAAGTGCTGTTTTAAAGAATATCACTGGGCAGATTCACAAATACAAGTCAAGGTACAATAAGTAAGTGTTCACAATGTCACGCTTGTCGCCGATTATGGTTAAAATAACACTGAATGCATAAATAAATAAAATGACATTGTTGTTCTCCATGAAAATCTATTAACGCGCACGCGCTCATTTGAATCTTTATTGGTGTCAAAAGGTCCCCTGGTCCATAATGGGGGTCCAGACATTGAAGAATTAATTGAATCAAAGCCAACTAAACCACCGATCTGAGTCATTATGAAATAAATGAATCAAATATTGATTAAAAATAACACACACAGAAACACACACGCACACGCACACACACACACATATACACACACAAAAGGCCAACTGATTCACAATATGTCTGACGTGTGCAACCATAGCCTATATACAAATAGTAGCAAATAAAATATTAATCGTGGTCAATATAGGTTCAATAAATCGCTCACACTTCCTTAAATTTATTCAGGAATAAACAGCTCAAGATTCCTCATGAGTCTTTTGAGGGAACCTGTGTTTGTGTCCGACTGACAGAGAGACTGTTGAAGTGGGACTCCCTGTAGAGACATTTCCTTTACGAAATACACAAACTATTGTGTTGGTGAAAGAAAATAGACATCAATTAGGAGGGAGAAGTTGTGCATTGTAATTGCATGTGTATTGGTGTCATTTAATGTCCAGATCGATTCCCCGGTGCTTTTTAAAGAAATATCGGGACCAGACGCGTGTTTCTGCATTACTAGGCTATAAATAATAAAACGCAAAAAATAAAACCTTAAAACACCGATAGTGTTGTTGTTATTATTGTTATTACAAGCGCAACTTCTATAGACGCACATCGATCGGTGACGCGCGTCCATTGATAAGCATTGCGAATTTGCGACTTGCGAGTAAATTTTATTTAATAGGCTATCTTACCTTCAACAGCCGAGGACAGAGGCAGCAAAAAGCCGCATAAAAACAGCAAATAATCCATTGTCATAAACCAGAGACTTCGCACATGAAAGTGGAGGAGATTGTAAAATCCTTCAGACCCTCAGTCCAGCTTCAGAGACCCTCTTCTCCAACTTCAGCTCTCTTCTTCTCAGCTCTGTTTCCATAAACCGCAATAATTTCAGCAGTGTTTATGTAATCCAATGTGCGAACTATCTAAAGCAGCGCAGAAAGAGCTTTAAAACTCATCCACCGGGTGCATTTCATCAGTGGAGAACATTTGTGTCCGTTTATAGATGTTGCACAGTGAAATCCCTACACGTAGAGCAGTTGTTTAAATGTCCATTCGTCCTCCAATAACATTCTGCTGTAGTCCGAGAATAAAGCGCGTCCCGTAGAATCACCTTATAGCGGCTTCACGCATAAAATCCCTGAGCGCGTTACCTCTTGTGAGCGCGGACCGTTGCTGCTCCTCTGCCTTTCCATGTGCACTGGAATGAAGGCTTCTCTGAAATCAGCGAAAGAGTGAAAGAGAGAGAGAAAGGCGGTGGAGGGAGGAGTTACGCTCAGATCAGCTGTCAGTCATTCCTGTGGCCCCACCCCCTCGAGGACCCGGCGCAGTTGGCAGGGTGAGAGCGCCGCTTTGCGGGTCCGAAAGCTTGCATGCCTTCAGAAGCTCTCGTGGAAACGAATAAACGTTTCTAATACTCTTCTTTTTGGTAACATTTATTGTTACAATGTGTGTAACATAGGTTACATGCCTATTATTTTAACACTTATTCATTATCAGAATTGTAAAAATATAAGTGCGCGATTTAATTCAACAAAACGCTGTAAGTACTGTACTGTTTTAATTTGTATTGCTTACATGCATTGAACAATGAACACTGGTATATTTTATAATTAGTACGCTAGTAACAGCCAAGTATCTGCTTCAGTATTGCTAAATCATACGGATTTTGAAGCACAAAGCCGGAGGGAATTGTTAAAGGTTTGGCGTGGACTGGGGAAACGTTTTGGATGTGCCACGTTGACCTGTATGTTCATATTTTGCCATGTTATGATTTATGATATTTCACTGAACACACGGTTAGCATGTGTTACATGAATTGGTTTGCAGACTTGCTTATCAGAGGGGTTATATTGTTCTCTTCATCTCGTTCTTGATCTATTTTACTCACACTCTTTTCTCCTGCGCTCCCTCTCCGTCTCTGTCTAGAGGACAACAGTTTTAAAGCCACTTTGAAATATAGTAATTACATCAAATTGAATTGATTCTGCCTTGAAGGTACTGATTGCGCTATTGTGCTTTGTAAAAACATCGGTTTAAGATGGGCATTACATAATCTAAATTATGAATGAACATTAAAGAGGTTAATTTATATTTAAAATGACCATTAACACCATTCACAAATCCCTTATTTATTTAAATGTTGTTTATTTATTTATAATGTTTTAATATGTTTTTAAGAAATGGAAAGTGACTCTCTTTAATAACTTCAGCTTATCTTCAGTGTTAGTTTGACAACATTAACTACATCATAAATATATATATGTTTTGTTTGCATGCTGCAAGAACATCAAAACACTTTTTTCAAAAAAAGTGTTCAACATTGATTTTAGTTATATATATATATGTTATATATTTAGTTATATGAAAGCTCTTTTTCTGGTATTTGTGCTGTAACAGATATTCATGGTCTGATCTCTTATCACGGGAGAGCATTAGCATGTGGTCTGCTAGTAATGAAGGCATACTTAAATAACTGTGTATTTCTGATAAAATCTAAAAAATACACTGTGATTGTAAAATTTAAATGATAAAAAGCATTTATAACGTAAGTTTCACAGCTGTTTTTAATGAGTGTAGTAAGAGGTTTTGTTTAGTTTCACTTTCTGGGCTTCTGTTATTATGTTTAGCTGAAAGTTTTTTGACACTACTGTCAATTCATTAAAACCTATAGTGTGTATGGCTGAAATAGAAAATCATACATAATTGTGTAGCTGGCCGAAATATAAAAGGACCCAATACAGAGCCTTGATTCACTCCAAATGTTTAATTTAGCTTTATCAGCACAGACTGCCAATAAAAGCAAAGCTTTCTATCATATTTCAGATTGAATTTAGATATTTTAACTGTGCTTGAGAGGTCAAGTGCTTCAGGAGTTTGGTGCAAAGTTGTGTTTGGCATTATATTTATCGTCTTAAATGTTATATTGACGTCATAAATAACTTGAAATAGAGCTGCATGATTTTTATTTTGCCTACTAAAACCAAATTATTTACAAAATACATTATTATTATAAATATAATGTTGCAGTTATAGTTTCAATTATAGTATAGAGTAATTTTAACACACACACACAAACACAAAAACCAGTTAAATACTGTGACAAAAGTGGTGTTTCAGCTAACATTAATGCATTCTGAGAGCGTATCAATTGTAGTTCCAAGATTTCTGTCCCAATTTTGTTATGTATGGAGCTGCTGTATAAAGACACAAGTGAGATTTGATTTATTATTTAGGCAGTCATGTGTTTTAATGAAATCTTATGTGTGATCTGAAAGAGGGCTGGGTCATGAGAACAGGGATTAGTTGCACACTAAGGAAGTCCTCTAATAAGAATGTTTGTTAAAGTAAAAAAGTATGTGCGTACAGCCATAAATATAAAACCCAGACCAAAACTCTGGGGTCTATTTTGCATGAATGGAAAATTCAAGTTAATAGACTGATTGGCTCACTGCCTTTAGGTTCTATGTTGTTTAGCAAACGTTTTATTACTTGGTTATTTGTCATTATATGTGAACTGTTTTAAAAGGTTAAATGTTATTTGAATTCTAGTTTTCATTGAGGACTTTTGGTTCTGTTTTATTGTCCCTATGAATGGTAATAACCGTTCTGCGTTTTTTAGAATGCTTGAAAAGTCTGTTTTTGGTCAAACAGCAAGATTTCTTTAAACATTATTTTTCTTGCGTGTCCATGGAGTGCCTCGAAAAAAACAGACTACGCACCTGGCATTTATTACAACCTCAATAAGTAAAGTGGCAGACATTTTATTGCCATGTGGACATATGGAAATTTCTCAAACTTACACCCGATCCCCTTCCACTACTGGACTGCATGCCTGGCACTAACTTTGATGCTGAACTGAAAAACTCTAGGGCTGAAGCAATAGGGACATGACTGAAAGTTAGTCCACCACCACCAGGATGATGTTATAATGGTGTCAGTGCCCGGTTTCTAAAAAGTAACAAAATAAAATAATAAAAAAGTGAGAGAAAATGTTCATTGTCTAAGGATTTTGCATTGTAAAGCAATTTCTTTGGATGCTAAAATACGTTTGCAAATCACATAGTAGTTCTAGAATGAGATTTTGATGTACTGATGAGTTTCTGCATGTCGTGGTCTGGGCACTCGAGTTGGAGGGGAACTGCTAATTGATGTCCCGGCACCTCCAGAAACCCTCCCCCGCTCTTTATCACTGTCTTCAGTTATAGTGTCTTCCCATTGCTCTGCACTTCAAACACTCTTATCTGCACACCGTACTGATCTCTATTATGATCTCTCCGTCACACACACACACTTAGCTATCTAAATGGGGAAATTCCATGGACGTAATGGTTTTTAATACTGTCCAAACTGTATGTTCTCTCCCCTTACTCTAACCCCTAAACCTATCCATCACACAAAACAGTCAGATATGATAGTCAATATGGTTTTAGAACAAACCGTTCTACATCTCTGGCTTTAATAGACTAGGTGGAAGAATTAACAACCAGTATTGATGACAAGAAGTTTGCTATAAGCGTATTTATAGACCTTAAAAAGGCCTTTGATACAAAAGATCATCATATTTTGCTTCAAAAATTGGAAATTTGTGGAATTAGGGGAATAGGGCTAAACTGGATAAAAAGCTATTTAGAACATAGACAACAATATGTGCAGATGAAGCTCCAAAATACAATATATGGTGTACCACAAGGTTCAATTCTAGGACCAAAATTATTTATATTATACATAAATGATATTGTTAAAACTTCTGATTTGTTGAAATTTGTCATTTTTGCAGATGATACAAATATATTTTGTGAAGGAGAGAATCTCCAACATTCGTTGAAGACTGTCTCTAAAGAGTTGGCTAAGCTTAAATTGTGGTTTGATTTAAACAAATTATCTCATATGAAGAAGACTAAATGCTCTCTGGGAAACGTAGAATTCCTGAAGATTTTAACTATTGAAGTACTGATAATTCTAGATTAGAAAGAGTTTATGAAAACTCCTTTTTAGGAGTAATAATTGACCATAAACTGAGCTGGAAACCTCAAGTCAACTATATTAGTTCTAAATTGGCAAAGATTAATGGTATATTTTGTAAAGTGAGACATATATTGAACCGAGATACAATGTATATTTTATACATAGTAGATACAATTTAAGAAGGAGAGGAAATCTCTCCCAATCAATTGCACGCACCACTCAAACGCATGTGCATATCTGTAAATGGCGCGAGGCTGTGGAATAATTTACATGTAATAATTAAGGAAAGTAATCATATTGTGCAATTTAAAAGCAGGTTTAAAATGTCTATATTAGAAAAGTATATGAATTAAGGTGGACTTGGGACAAATGTCTCATTTCCTTTTCAAGAGGTTGATCTGAATTACCATACACCCTAAGGAGATTTTATAAGGTTTTGGTCACTTCCGTGTACAAATTTGCCCCCAAATTTTGGCTAAGTAGGTACACACGCACACACATACCTGACATGTATAGACTCTTGTGCATAAGAGCATAAAGCGTGAAATGCTTGCTGACAGGTTTCACCCATTTTAAGTATAGGGCTTTGCAAATGCATTGTCTGACAGAACAAAATGTAATTGCTAAACTCAGAATTCAGAAAAAATACATTTCAGGATTGCGAAATGTAATCTCAGAATTCTGGAAAAAAAAAGTCTGAATTCTGAGGAAATAAAGTCAGAATTCTTAGGAAGAAAAGTCAGAATTATGAAATTTAAACCCAGAATTCTTTTTAAAAAAATATAACCAGAATTCTTAAAAAAAGTTAGAATTGTGAAATGTAAACTCATAAATCTGAAAAAAAGTCAGAATTGCGAAATGTAAACCCAGAATTCTTAAAAAAATGTCAGAATTGCAAAATCTAAACTCAGAATTCTAAAAAAAAGTCAGAATTGTGAAATGTAAACTCAGAATTCTTAAAAAATGTCAGAATTGCGAAATGTAAACTCAGAATTCTGAGGAAATGAAGTCAAAATTCTTAGGAAAAAAGTCAGAATTGTGAAATTTAAACCCAGATTTCTTAAAAAAATAAGAATTATAAAATGTAAAAAAATAATTCTTAAAAAAAGTCAGAATTGCGAAATGTAAACTCATAATTCTGAAAAAATGTCAGAATTGCAAAATATAAACTAAAAATTCTAAAAAAGTCAGAATTGTGAAATGTAAACTCAGAATTCTTTAAAAAAATGTCAGAATTG